AGGTTAGAGTAATAGATGAATCTAGGTAGATGGATAGAACTCTGCCAGTCTATATAGGTTACCTGATCAACTTACTGACGATTAAAATGTGAAGTTGTTGGGATTGCTTAGTGAAAACACATCACCCGAGATGGTGTGCATAAAACAGCAGGACATCTGGATGGACGGGATGAATACAGCGGGATCTGTGCTAACGTAAGATGATCGCACCTGCTGCCATCTATCTACAACTTACCTGCGATGTAGGTGGAGCTGGGGTAGCTGTTGAGGAATCCCCCGAACGACTTGCTGCGGTAGAGCGCATCGGATGAGTAGAACAGCTGCTTCTTACTGCTGTCCTTGAGCGACATCACCGACACGTAGCGCCGCAGCCAGAATCTCTGCAAGATAGCAAAGCAGGAGCAAGGTAAGTAGGAGGTGGTGGCATCGATAGCGTCTAATATATTATAGAGGCGTTTACACAGAGACAGACAGCTATCGTAAATCATGGTTGTGTACGTAGAGAAGGTGTTTAATATAGAGGCGTTCCGCATTGACGGATATTATCAAGAGCTAATAACACAGCTCTTGGAGTTTTGATAATATATTGTATTATTAGCTCTTGATATCATATAGAATCCATGGCTTTGTAATTGAGAAAGTGATTAATATATGTTTGTGAACGCGGGTGCGTGCGTGTGTTAAGCCCTCATAGACATATGCTGTCCGTAATGCATGGTGTCCCCTACATGGAGTAATCCCACTCGTCTTGCTAGTCTTCTCAAATCACGCAGACCCGGGTGGGAGAGAATACAGACTGAGAGCCATGGGCGGCGGTAGGAGTTGTAGAAGCATTAGAGGGGCGTATGGAGGGACGCTGGATGGTTGTAGAGACAGGCGGTAGGAGTTGTAGAAGCATTAGAGGGGCGTATGGAGGGACGCTGGATGGTTGTAGAGACAGGAAGAGTGACCTGTAGAGACCGGAGAACTACAGAGCAGGTAGAGGGCCATCCGCAGACCCGTGGGTCGACCTATATACTTGGCACATGGTAGGCGGACGTCTGACTACACGGGTCACACAGACTGTGCGTGTTCAAGACACTAACACAAGAAAACTACTGAATATCTTTACAACTCCGTAGATGAGGAGGGGGAAGGGACCTGGAGATCGGTAGTGATGCAAGTCTATAGGTAGTAGTTATTGGACATCTAGGAGTGCTACTGGTGGGATGTTGCCATTCGAGTTAGCGGAAAGAAGGACCTGTAAAAGAAACCGTAAAACCGCAAACTGTAAAAGAAAGACCGTAGAACCGGTAGAGGTCACTTATACTGACTGCCATCTACCTTGAGTGGAAAAAATTGACTCATTCCGTTCAGAAAACCTACTAGTTCCTGTTTTAGAGAAGCGTTCAGAAAATTCGGAATACATCGATCTCGTTTAAAATCTCCTTTCCGCTTCATGAGAGATTCCCCCCTCCCTCCATTTGTAGCGAGCGACATTCATTAATCGCTCTGTCTGCTCGCATATAACCACTCTCACTGGCTTAATGCAGCGGCAAAACGAGTAATAAATTCGAGACAATGAAATAAAACTACGAACTCAATCTCGAAAGCCAATGGCAACCGCCAGTGCATCAATATAACTTTCTAATCCCCGCGCGCTGTGCGCCCACATCCAACGCCTATATATATATATAAGATGAAGACGCAACGTCATTGCATTACGACCCATTTTCACTTCACAAACTCGATTGATTGCAGAACTGGTCAGATTGAAATCTTTGCCGCGGCACGAACCGAGGGCTATATTTTGGGGTTGTGTAAATTCACGATGACTATCACCAGGACGGCCCGACAAACACCAGCATATTATATATATATATATATGTGTGTCACTCACACGCCACGCACACACAACTACAAACACACAGCAACCACACACCACACACACACACACACACACACACACACACACACACACACACACGGCACCACGCACGCACGCACGCACGCCACACACACAAGACAACAAACACACCACACACCAAAACAGCACACACACATATAACAGCACACACACACACACGACACACACACACACACATCACACACACACACACACACACACACACACACACACAAATCTACTGCCAAAAAGAAAAGATTTGAAAAAAAAATTTACGTTTGCTGACACATGCATCTGCACTTACTTATTGGGGAGACCATCCTCAAGCCACCGTTATCGATTACCTACTACATACGTGTGATGATAAACTGATTTAACCAGCCCGCACATATATAGACTGCTGGTGTTCTTTATATGTGATATCATTAGCGGTATATATATATATACTATATTATAGTATATATATATATATACAAAGTAAATAATATGCTGCGTGTTTGTCGGGCCGTCCTGGATAGTCATCGTGAATTTACACAACCCCACAAAATATAGGCCCTCGGTTCTTGCCGCCGGCCAAAGATTCAATCTGACCAGCTTCTGGCAATCAAGTCGGAGTTGTGAACTGAAAATGGGTCGTAATGCAATGCACGTTGCGGTGGCGTCTTCATCTTATAGTACTTATATATATATATATATATTAATTAGTGTAGTTAGGGTATATATATACATATATATATATAATAAATCTTATACTATGTAATTTATAATCAAAGTATATATATATATACGTATGTTAGATAATATATAGGGCGTTGGATTGTGTGCGGATCAGCGCCGTGGCGGTACGCGGGGCGAGTTAGCAGTTGAGGGGGATGTAGAAAGGTAATGACTTGCACTCTGCTCAGGCTCAGCCACATCCCACAGGCGCCTTTATATATATATTATTATATTAATATGTACCATTATTGGGGCTTTATACTTATTTATTATATTTTATAGGAGGATTGTATATATATATATATTTATATTATATTTATATATAATGTATAATATATATATATGATAATATAATGCATATATATATATATATATAAGAGGGGAAGACGCAAGCGTCATTGCCATTACGACCCATATTTCCACTTCACAAGACATCGACTGTATTGGCCAAGAACTGCGTGCGAGATTTGAAATCTTTTGCCGCGCACGAACGGAGGGCTATATTTTTGGGGTTCGTCGATGTAAATTCACGATGACTATCCCCAGGACTGGCCCGACAAACCAGCATACTTTTATGATATATATATATATATATACTATATATATATATATATATATATATATATAATATATACACATATAAAACACCAGCAGTCTATATATGCGCGGTTAAATCCAGTTATCATCACAACGTATGTAGTAGGTATATACGTGGCTTGAGATGGTTCCCAATCAGTAAGTCAGATATGTGTACAGCAAACGTAATTTTTTTTTCAAATCTTTCGCAGACGATTTGTGTTGTGTGTGTGTGTGTGTGTGTGTGCTGTGTTAGTGTGGTGTGTGTGTGTGTGTGGCGTGTTGTTGTGTGTGTGTGTATAGGTTGGTGCTGTGTTTGGTGTGTATAAGTCTGCGCTGTGTGGTTGTGTCACTAAGCAGGGTTTCTTCTGGGTGTGTGTGCCGCGCGTGCGAGCGCGTCGCCGTGCGTACCTGAAGCGTGTGTGTGGTGTGGTGTGTGTGTGGTGTGTGTGTTGTGTGTGCTGTGTGTGTGTGTGTGGTTTGTGTGGTGATTTGTTGTGTGTGCGTGTGCGTGCGTGCGTGATCGTTGCGTCGTGCGTGCCGTGTGCTGTGCGCTTGTGTGGTGTGTTGCGTGTGTGTGCGCTGTGCGCGTCTGTGCGCGTATGGCATGTGTGTGTGTGCAATGTGTCGTGCCGTGTGGGCGCGCGCGAGGTTCGTAGTCTTTATTCTGAGGTGTCTATAATTGCCGTGCGTGTGTTCTCGAATTTTTATTTACCTCGTTTTTTGCATCGCCTTTTGCATTAGGCCAGCTTTTGTGAGTGGAGTGGTAGAGGCAGGCAGGACAGAGCGGTGGTGAATCCATGATGATCAAGACGTGATGAACTGATATACACTGTGAACGGCGCTGGGCGTGTGCTATTCGCGACGGACAGACGCAGTCGGAACTCACTTCTAGGCGTTGTCGACATACGGAGGCGCTTATAACGCCGCACGGCCTGCCAAGTAGGTCTTCTGCCCTAGTGGACCACATCCTTACCGCCTCATAGGCTTCACTCTCACTCTCACCCGGGCCGCTCGCCGTCCCATCGGGTTGAGTGCGTCCAACGTCACAACACGACAGACGATAAATATCCTATATTCGGTCTCGGGGAGTTCAAACGAGAGTTGCTCTACAGACACAATAAACGCACCCAGCAAGTCGCGGCACCCAAAACGAGCGAGGACTTCCGAGAGAAGTATGAGATAATCAAGGGAGCATCACGTCACAATCGAGGACTGCGTTCCACTGGTTCTCTGTCAGTTGTCTTATATCCGCATGTATTCCTTCGTAATTGGTGGTGAAAAACGCGTTGTTATGACCAACTAAATCGGTCGTTGTATTTTCACCCGGATAGTTTTCTTTCTTTCCCAGTCTAGTGATCCGCACGCGATATACTCCTATTCTGCGGCCGGGCAGACAACCTTGAACGGCTCTGCTTCTTATAAACAAGGATCGACTATGCTAGGGGTTTTCCGTTGGATACCGGGTAACGGAGCACTCAAAAACGGCTTACAATTTTTCTTTTACTCAACTCACAGTGGGTAAGGATTTAGTGTCCATAAGTCACGGAGGACATATAAGCAGCTGCACCGTCCACGTTTCCAGACGACGGGCGATCTTGCCTGCCTTATACACACTCAACCGGTGTTTTTTTTTGGCGTTCTTTTTTACAGGGGTTTGGGCCTGAACTATTTTTTATCCACCACACAAGGGAATGCTTATCCATTCTATGACTACCGTTAGAATCTCATTACAACGTTCCTATCCTAAACACCCAAATCGTGACCAAACCGATGCCTGACTCTTCGTTTTGACATTATTATTATTATTTAAAAACCGCCC